AAGTAGCTTTATGCAGTGCTAGGCCCACCAGATTTTAACATCATGATGTCAACTGTAATCTAGCTGAACATGCGTTTGCCATATTTCTTTTATTTGTGGATCCTTATCTTCGATCATTTGATGGGCAGCAGGATTTGTTCAGGATGAGGGCAATGGGCTGGATGTCAAATATTGTTGCTAGTCATAATTTTAGTCGAACTATAAGGTTGCTGTGCTGATAGTAGCATTATGTTATCATCAATGCAAGCTTCTTATCTGAAGTAATGATTACACTGGCCAATAATGCCTCTTTTAGTAACAATGCAAGCTTGAGGTCAATAATAGGAAATTTGGATAATGATGGCAACATTAGTTTACTAGAACACATTCTGGAGTTCTGTTTTTCTTTTAATAAATTTGTCCACAATGGAAGAGAATTTATGTTCTTGAAAACATAATGTGTCTATGATGCCACATTAGTTTTATTGCAGTCTCCTAAGTCTGTCTTAGCCAGCCTGGAGCTAGTCCAGCACTTGTAAGAGTAGAACCATTGATTCAAATATTAAGTTAACCTTTCACTTTGATGCAGGCAGGAATATTCGGTAATATGCAAAATCTGTATGAAACAGTTAAAAAAGCTCAAAATGTAGTACAAGTTGAAGCAGTGCGTGTGCAGAAAGAGCTTGCTGCGTATGTTCCTAATGTTTAATCCAATTTAATCTGGTACTCATAATTCTTTAAGTGGCTGAATTTTTTTATCTCTTGTTCTTTCTTACTGTTTTTCAGGGCAGAGTTTGATGGTTACTGTGAAGGTGAGATGATTAAGGTATGATTAACTCTCGCCACAAGGCCACCCTTTTTTATTTGTTCAATTTGGGAATCTAAGCTGGTTTGTAAACCTGAATGGTATTTTAACTTTTAAGTGGCACTAGCAGATTTTCACTTTCATAGTACCAGGATTACATTCGGAAACTATTTTTAAATTGATATCTCTCTTTTTCATAATTTCTCTTTTGTTGTAAGACAACTTTGAGTTCTTTCAATCCTTCTCTTCCCCTAGGTCCAGTTACGTACATACTCACTTGTCTCTGTTACTCAGATTTTACAATTCATCTCTGATTTTTTTTCCTAGGTAACGCTTTCTGGTAACCAGCAACCTGTACGCACTGAGATAACTGAGGCTGCTATGGAACTAGGAGCAGAAGTAAGTGATGAACACCTTTTGTTTTCTTTTCCCATTTGCAAGAGTGAGTTTCTCTTTATTATATGTGACTTTTCCATTTTTTCTTAATGCAGAAACTCTCTCTTTTGGTCACCGAAGCGTACAAAGATGCACACCAAAAGAGCGTTGTGGTGAGAACTCAGCCTATTCTCCTTTTTTAGGACTAATAATAAATACCTGGCTTCTTAACTTTGTGCCTGTTCTTTTCATCTTTTCAGGCTATGAAGGAGAGAATGAGCAACCTTGCCCAGAGTTTAGGAATGCCTCCAGGCCTCGGTGAATTGAAATAATGAGTAGAGTGAAGGATGTTGGCACATCTCGCTTGCCATTCGTATTTTGTAATCTCTAAGTTCGAATTCTTTTTTTCTTTTTGCTTAGAATCTCTGAAGTTCGAATTCATGGAAAAATCGTTCCTTGTTTTATAACAATAGATTCAAAAAAATTATTGAGACTGTTATTGTTTGAACTTGAAAACGCCTGCCATTTAAGAATCTATTGCGAGACTTGTATAGGAAATGAATATGTTGATATTAAGATAATTGAAATTGAATTGCACAATAATATCTCAGAACCCCTGTCATATATGAAAATAAGAATAAAGAATTAAACAAATCATTAACCCCACCCTCTAAAGCCCAAAAATTCTCATATCAAAACAAACCCAGAGCAAAAATCCCGAATGCCACAACCAGAAGACCACCCTGCAAGCTTGTAGCACTGCTAGTTGGAGCAACAGCCGGACCGTCAACCTCTGCCGGAGAAGGTGCTGGAGAGATACCATAGTGTTTTCTTGGGGTCATAACAACCACAATCACCTTCTGCCCCTTCTCACAGTGGCCCTTGGTTCCACTGATGAAATAGAATGGCCCTGGTTTGTCAAGATGAAGCTTGGTTTCACCATCCTTGTACTGTTCAATTGGGTTTGAAACATTGCAGTTAGCGTAGTCTTCCTTGGTCACACGCAACACCGAGTCTTTGGCACTGTCATATTTCAACACTGAAACAAAGACAGAAAGCATAGCATAAATTAGCAATAACCAAAACAAAACAGAAAATGGGAAGGACCACCAGATGAGAACTGAAGATTGAAAAACCTTGGGATTGAATTAAAATGGAGATTTACCAAGTGTGTCGCCGACCCGAAAACGGGTGTTTTCAGCCCATTTGTTGAGAGATTGGGATTCAGAGGATGGGATTGCCCATGAACCTGTTTTGCCTCCAACCAATATCTCTCGGGCTTCTGAGAAGCTGAAGAGAAGAAATATGAGCAACAGAGAAGATGAAGATAGAGCTCTTGATGATGAAAAGCCAGCCATTGACACTTAAACAGAGAGCACTTAGACACTGAGGTGTTTTTGGGGGCTCTTGAGTTTGAGATCAAGTGAGCTAGCAAAGCAAAGAACAAAAGTAAAAGGCTTGATTGATTGAGGTTGGTTGAAGAAAGCCTCTCAGCATTCATGTATTTATAGTCTATAGGATACAACTGTGATTGGGGAAAGGAAAACTAGCCGTTGTGCGGCTCAGAGAAAAGGTTGATGTAACGTTAAAAAAATAATGGCGATAGATGGCAGAAGAAAACGCTTTTCAACGGTCACAAATGCATGGAAAGACGAGTACACCTGGTTGCAGAGTTTTGGGCCCATCATTATATTAAACGCTTCAAACCAACGTCGTTTCAAGGGTGGGTGGAATTGGGACAGTGGTTCTGCGCAGCCCAAACATTTATCCAATTTTTATTCTCAGCCCATAACATAGGAACTAGACATAAATAAAATAAAATAAAATTTTGGCTAGTTACAATTTACTCCTCTAAATAATTTAGTACCTCGGTTTGAAAAGAAAATAAAAATTAGTACCGCGTAAGTTGGCCCGGACACCTTATAGTATTTACTAAAAAAAATTAAAAATTAGTACCTCGGCAAATGACTTTATAGGTCAAGTAATTAACATAAATACTCGATTTACTTGAAGTTCTGTGTTCTAATCCACATTTTTGCACTTGGTGTTTAAATGATGATGTAATAAATGTAGGCCCTTTTTATTGCCGGCATGGCTGCCAAATTTGTGCCACGTTGCATACCACGTATCAAGTGACTGAGTAACTCGAAACGTGTCAACAATATGCACCTCTTCTTCAAGCTTCAAGTTGAAATCTGCATGCAGACGTAGAAAGAAATAGACAAGTTTTACCGTTCCACTGTCTCGGCTTTAAAATACCACCTCACAAATACATATATAAAGAGAGGTGATAATAGTACCATTTCTCACACCAGAAAAACCAGTACACCCGAACACACCCCAAACTTACTCTACACACCCATAACAATCTGCCGGCACATTCTGACAGCAAGGACAATGACTGATGATCAAACCGTTCATTCCATTTTTAAAATATATACCTAGAATCTTTTAGGTATTTTATGAGAATTCTAGATAATCTCTGATAACTGTATATACTGTCATACTGGAATTCAATGAGAAAGAGCCTTATCTTTAGTTCATCTCTTTAGTCTGCTTAAGTTTCTTCAATAGGAGAGAGAGAGAGAGAGGGTTGGAGAGAAAAATGCCGGACACACACAAAGTAAGTCCAGAGGATGTGAGGAGAGCAGGAGCTGAAGCAGGAAAGAGGGCTCCTGGCCTCCGGATAGCCTTAACTTTGGTGCAACTTCCTGCATGGCCATCACCGGCTTACTGTTTGCCGGCGCCATTGCCTACTATACCCTTTATGTCAAGAAAAAGCCTGACCCCTCTGCACTAGATGTCGTTAGGGTCCGCCGTGACCTTGACGACCTTCGTCCCAGAAAGTCTCTTGTCAACAGCACCGACCCCGCCCCATGAAATAGCTTTCTATATTTATGGTGGTACTAGCCTAGCCTGTGTATGTTAAGTAATTATGCCCTAGGGCTTCTTTTCTTTTTCTTTTTTTAATTTCTGTTCCAAAATATTATGGTCTAGTTTGTAATTAATCTTTTATTTGTGTTGTGGACGTCTTTGTTTATAGTTTATGGTTCATACACACGTGAATATTTTGAATGCTTTTTCGTATTCAATTCATCTTCTCTACCTCTCGCATTTAGGTTTCGAATGATTTTCTTGCTACCTTTTGTACTCTTTTAGGGTACTTCTATTTTATAGAGGCATTTGCTCCCCAAAAAAAATTGTCAATAATAAGCCAACTTCTTTTTCCCACACCCCCTATTTTTCTATCTTATTGTATGCAAGAAGGCAATAAAAGAAATAAGAAAACTGAAGTGGGGAAGGGAATTAGCCCTTTCAAATCCAATATAAAAATCTAGTTGAACATCACAATTCACAAGTAAGAAAGGGAGGGGCTTGCAATTTGCAAACCAACTCTGCTCAATTTGTGGAAAACGGTTCATGGAAATCCCACCCACCGTGAATATCAGATAAACAGAGTAGTAGACAAATAGAAATACGACATTGGGTTGTGGAGGTTGGTTGGAAAAGGCTTCAGCACAACGTCGTTTTTCAGGAGAGGGTTGGGTTGGGCTGGGCCTTCTATTCTATGCAGCCCAAACACGTATACTTATTCTCAGCCCAAAAATATTTAAAACAAATTGTTGTTGTTATTTTCTTTTTCAAAGGGAGATTTTTCTTGCACAAGCAACACGATGCTAGACTGGAGAGTTACACGAACCCACTAACCCACTACGTGTTGAGAGACTGAGCCTTCACTTGGGGCCTCGTAACTCAACACGTGTCAGCAATGCAACGCTCCTCCTCTTCTTCTTCAAAGCTTAATTCGAAGTTGAAAACCACAGCGCATGTTCGGGTTCACCCTTTCGGCTAATTTATAGAAATATTATCAGGATTCACATCACATCACAGAGTGAGAGAGACCAAAACCTGCACGCAGAGACAGAGACAGAAGATGGCGGGGAACGAAGATTGGAGGAAAACGGCAGACACAACAAAAATGAGTGCAGAGGAAGTGAAGAGAGCTGGCGTGGAGGCATCAAAGAGGCCCCCTGGTCATAACCCTGGCGGTGTTCTTCACCAGCGACGCAAGCTTCCCTTTAGCCCTACCGCCATGGCCATTACCGGCTTCCTCATCACCGGCGTCATCGGATACTTCACCCTTTACCACCTCAAGAAGCCTGAAGCCTCCGCGGGAGATGTCGCCAGGGTCGCCACCAACGTCGCCGGGCCTGAGCATACTCACCCCAGGAAATAGTACTTTCATTTAATTATTTTGATTTTGATCAAACGGGGAAGAAGAAACTCCACTGGGCTTGGCAGGGGTTTTTCTTAAGTTATTAATTTCATAATTTGTTTGTTGACGTCTTTTTCTTCGTAGTTCAATACTTGATGTCTTCTAGTTGCAGTAATATTCTGGTCGTAGTGTAAAATTTTCTGATTTGTGTTTGGTGTAGTTACCACAACATGTATTATAAATAAATAACTGATATACCATTAACCTTAAGGAATAAGAATATTAAAAAAAAACATTTCCTTGGCCCCCTCATGGAAATAGCACCATGAAAATCAGAAAATACAAATAGACGAGTAAGTAATAATAAGGTCCCTAAGTAACAATTGGTAACTCTTGAAAAATAAACAAATAGAAATATACTCTAACAGAAATATGATCATGTCGGCTTGTCATGGTTCAAAATTGAGCACAATAGGATACATTTTTGAAAAGCACAATCCAACTTTAAATTGCAAAATCTTACACTACTTGAGACATTTTTCTTGTTGCGTCTTCTAGGGGAGGAGAGATCACCGCTCGCAAGCTCCCCCGGGACCGAGTTTTTTAGTCAATTTTCACGGATGAGTAGATGAGCCTTGTGAACCAAAAGCAGGCATAAAAGCCGATGGTACCAGTGAGCACAAAGAATGCGTAAGAAGCAATAAGCATGTATCCGAAGTATAACATCCCTGAGACCAGCTTTGTGATTTCAAGCTTTGTGAAGAAGTAGAATGTGGCGTAGAGGAACAGGTACACCGCTGACGAGCCCGACGTCAGGTACGACCTCCACCACCACAAGTAATCCTCGCTGCACAACTGGAAGTAGCAGAGCACGATGGTGATCTCGGCACATGTGACGATGAGGATGATGAACACCAAGAAGAGGAAGCCAAAGATGTAGTAGAACTGGTTCAGCCATATTGAAGTGAGGATGAAGAACAGTTCAATGAAAACCGCTCCGAATGGGAGGATTCCTCCAATTAGAATCGAGAAAACTGGGTTCATGTACCAGGCCTGTTCTGGGATCTGCCTGGGGATTTTGTTTGTCTTCACAGGGTCCTCGAGTGCTGGCTTCCTGAACCCAACATAGCCTCCAACAAATACAAGTGGGACTGAGATCCCGAACCATAAAAAGACCAGGGCAAACATTGTTCCAAATGGGACAGCTCCGGATGATTTCTGGCCCCAAATCAGAGTGTTTAAGACAATGAAAATGGCAGAGACAACTGCTGGGAACATGACTGCAGTCCTGAAAGAAATTTTCTTCCATTCTGTCCCTTTAAACATCTTGTATAAGCGAGCAGAGGCATAACCGGCGAAAAGTCCCATGAAGACCCAAAGCAAGAGCATGGCTGTCATAAGACCACCTCGGTTAGACGGGGAGAGGAAGCCAAGGACAGCAAATATCATTGTCACAAGTATCATGCCAAAGAACTGAACGCCAGTTCCAACATATACACAGAGCAAGTCCGAGTTATTTGGAGCCCTGAAAACATCCCCATGGACAAGCTTCCATCCAGTCTCTTCTTGTGCTTCTTCCTGGGTCTCAAGTTCATTATACTTGGAAATGTCACGGTAGAGGGTTCTTAGCATTATCATTGCTACCATACCAGAAAGGAAGAGGACAATCATCAATGAATTGACAATTGAGAACCAGTGGATTTGGTCGTCACTCATCAAAAGATAAGCATCCCATCTAGAAGCCCACTTTACATCACTTTCCTAAACAATAGACATGAAAAAAGCAGCTCATGAGAATACTAGCAAGTGACAATGCATGTTCAATCACCATTGGCATCAGGGATATTCAGTTAAATGGAGGACATTAAGAATAAGAGTTACAGTTTAAGTTAAGGAGCTCACCTGGAATTCTACATCATAAGTAAATACAATTTCTTGCTTCTCCGCAACTTCTTGAGGAGAGTTAGAATTGACAACAGTGTGTTTCGAATGGGGGTCACAGGTGGTTAAACGAGTCTTTGCATCATTCCATTTACCTTCATACTCGTGTTTAACACTGAAGACATTCAACAGCCACAAACATATCATCAATTGATACTTAAGAAGAAGATTCAGCGGGAAGGAATCATTTAGTGGAACAGGAAGAGCTGGAAAACTGACCTGAATGGTTTAACCTCAAATCCCACAATTCTTGCTGTTTCAGTTTGCGTATCTTTATGGTACTTGACAGTAAATGCCAAGTGGTTGTGGATAAAATACTTTTCTTCCTTGCTCTGAGAACAATAACGTTGAGTAAGCAAGAGAAAACCATAATAATACCCAAACAAAAAGTTATTTGGTGCCAATGAACCATGCACATACCCCAGCATAATGGCCTTTGAGCCCAACATGAAAGCCAAGCTGGTAAACAGTAGGAGCCTCCTGATCTGGCCTTTGAATGGGTACAACTAGGGGCAGATTATCAAGGATCCTATCACAGAAAAAGAGAGATGCACCTTCCTCTCATATATATATATATATATATATATATATATTTAGTATAAAGCATTTCAAGTGTCTGAAAAGTACATGTTCACACGATACTCATCATCTATCTTCTCTTTAAACTGCTTCACAGTTTTGGCATCAGGAGTAAACCGACAGACAATATTGCACATCTGAGGCTCCCTCATTTTAAACTGCACAGTATCCACAATGAGTTAAGGACCACAGGAGAAACAAGCAGCCTGAGAGTTATACAAGTACAATAACACTAACCACATAGGGGGAGTTTTCAATACGGTCACCACGAAGTACTTCCCCAAGATTCTCGGCACTGTCCAAAATTTTGTCGGGTCGACAGTAAGGGAGAGAGTAAAATGAGTATGGAAGCTGAGTCTTTGTAGATGTCAGTTTGTTCACTTTCACTTTCAAATCATCTCCCTGCATTTACAGATCCAAGAGGGCGAAATTAACTCAAATATCATTACATTGTCTAACAGAGTTTCCTCACTCTGACTCAAAGTCTTTTGCTTCTCAGTCAAGTGAAGTAAAACAACCACAAATGCCCAATCTAACTTATGAGAAATAATTCATATTTCATAAACAGCATTGGTAATCCAGTGAAACCTAAATGACGAGCTCTTAGAGTACTTGCTTAAGGCCTATACAGATCGATAGCAGCTCGGACCTCCCGAGATCTGATGTGTTAGTTTCAGCCGCATATTACTCTCAAAATTACATTGTTCCACGCATTCAAGTAAACCTCAAACACAGCCTAAGCAAATTCTAAGAAAAATGGAGGGCAAAGAACTCACATCAAAACGTATGAATCTCAGAATTTTAACTACGATCAGGTCAGCTGCGCTACATCTAAGTTGAATTGATTCAATTGATTCAATATTCCAATAGTATCCAACTCAATTAACGAAAAGCTATTATCCGTTCATTTTCCTCCATTTTCTCGACGGCCAAACAGACGAAAAACCAACACTAGGTCACATGAATACAGATCCAAAAAGCGAAATCACAGATCACTCATTTCATATTTCATACACCGACATATCCAATTTACACAAAACATAAAGTGAAAGATAGATTTGTCGGTGATCGAGAGCTGACCTTGATGAAGTCCTCAGGAGCGACTCCGGGAAGGTAAAAGGACTGAGCGCCATGGATGAGCAGTAGAAAGATCGTCAGTGTACGTACTGCCTTGGATCTACGAGTCTCCATGGCCTCTGACTGAGAGAGGGAGAGAGAGCGAGCAGAAGGCTGTGTAGATCTGGAGGAAATGTTTATTGGTTGGTGTTTATGGTTCGCTTCGTATTTGTCTGTCGCGTTGCGTGAAAAGAAAATAACAACGACCAAAAAAAAAAAAATTATAGTTGATGAAGAAAAAAAATATTAAAAGGGGACAAAGAAGGAGAGCGGAAGCTTAGAGAGAGGGGGAGGGGGTTGGACTTGGAGTCTGTCCGGTGAGATCTGGTGCGGTGACGCTGTGAATGCTTGTTTTGATTGTGCCACGTAGCCTTTCGCTGGATATTTCTGTGATTTACAAAAAGCAATTGTAGATTCGGCCCACAGAGTATAAAAGCCCAGCCTAGATTATTATCCAAGTTTGTCTTGACTGGATCTTTTTCCTTTTTGTACACAATTGCAATTTGCAACAGATCTCTTTCCTTTTACGTAACGACATGTCGTTTGCAATGTGTTTGTCAACTATATTGCATATAACGTGAAACAATTGCACATGCTATTTTAGCTCCCGCACCTTAAATTTTGATCTGAATCTGGACAAGGGCAAATAGACCAGTGGGATGAATCCAAGATTGACCACCATTTGCTGCACTACACAAATTCCTTTTTCTTTATATATAAGCGACATAGAGAAGTGAGATTCAAATTTAAGACCTCAGGTATCGAGATAAATGCTCTTAACCACTTTGAGCTACGAGAATCTTGATTCCACAGATTCGTTTCCATCCCTCTTTATCTTTTTTCTCTCTCTTTTTCATTTTTCCTATTTTTGGGTTTGTGTTAGCATTATGGGCCTGCCACATAGGGCAAGCCTGCAAGGATCAAAGTTTAGGCTTGGGCCTTTACATGGTGCTGAAATTTTCTGTGAAGAGGTAGGCTAAGCCCAAAATATAAGAAAAACCTAACAAATGGAGGTTGCCTTGCCAGTGCCACCTTCTAGAAGGCCTTGTAGAATATTGATGAGACTTGGGTTACCAATACCATTGGTTCTGCACAATGTCCTTTGTTCCCTTCATCAGGTCAAGGATGTTCTGTTCTGTGCATGAATAAGGCATCCACTTGAATAAAGCGGGGGAGGATAAGTATCGTTTAGTTGTCAATTTTCATAAGAGTAATGGCTTGAAGTGGACATCACCACACCATCTAACTTTGTACCAAAATAAGAAGAGGAATATTGCAAGTCACTCTCACTACTTGATGGAGGGGGGAGAGAAGGAGATAGCTAGAGAGAACCCCACTTGGTTTTGGTTTCTATTTTAAGATTTGCACAACCTCATAGAAAATTATATTGCATTAATTTTGAGGTTGAATTTTCTAGCTGTGGCTTTTTGGTGCTAGTTCCTACTTGCAATGGTGGGGTCGATCTTTCATTTTAAAGTGAATATATTAGCTTAGTAACATGCATAGGTGGTCCAAATCAATTGTGGAATTATGAAGTGAGTTGTAAATTCAAAAATTTTAAGTTCAATTCTGATGAGTTGAATAGTATTGAGATTTACTTAATACATGTGGTTTGTGATCAATTGCACTTATTAAGAATTTACTATTAGAGGCCGAGTTATGTGTGGATCTGAAGTGGCGTTAGCTCCAACCTAAAAACCAAAAAGAGAAGCAAAATTTCATATTGAGTGGAATGCTTGTGGTGGAGTTAATTGTATTGTAGCGTGTGGACATGAGGGAGGGAAAAAGAACAGAGGTTGATATGTGGGTAAGTAAATGTCGAGCTTTAAGAGCATAAAACCTGGACAGAATCTCTAATGTGTACCCAAATAGCACCAAAAAAACCTAAAACGTGCAACTTATTCTTCAAACACACACGAAGGGGTTGGCCATAGAGGGTCACATTTGGTCCCCCACATCGGCTTTTTGCCAAGCAAAAGCACAACCCCCTCACTCACCCATCTCCTCCTACCCAATAAACCTATTGTTCATTTGGAATTGGGACCCAATACCCTCTCATCTTTCTTTCCAGTATCCATCATTAATTTATGATGGTAGGGGCTCACAGCTCACGCCTAATAATTTCCTCTTTAGAGTACACCCACGAGTTTACATCATTGACAAATATATGTCTTAGAGTTTTGATATCATCAATTGTGTACGAGTTTAACCGTATGTAAAGTTTAAAAATCGCTATAGTCAATTGTTTATGAGTTGTTATAATCAATTGCTTATAAGTGTAAATGTTGATGTATGTAAAGTTCAAAATCCGCTACAATTAAATTGCATGAGTTGGGTTATGTTATAGTTATTGTTCACGAGTCTAACCGCTAACGTATGTAAAGCTTAAAATTCGCTACAATCAATTGTTCATGAGTTGAGTTCTGCTATCACGAGTCTCCCGTTGATATATATGAAACCCAAAATCTCCCCCGGCCCACACTAGGTTTAGCAAACTAGATGACTCAACTAATAATGAATTCAATGGGTAAAGAGGTGAATTCAATAGGTTCCTTAAAGAATTGAAAAGGTTTTTATTTTGTAGAAACACATTAAAGGATAAAGATGCATAAGTAGTTGAGGACTGGTACAATGATGAAGCAGCAGCTGTAAAGATGTGAGAGAATTGGGGTCCTGCTGGTGATTCTGAAAGCTTCTCCTCCCTTGTCCAAGAAATTAAGCAAACATTTAAGGGGACTGATTACTATTGTACAACCTAAGGTCCCAAGCTCAGGCCCTATGGATGAAAAAGGGACCCTGTAGCTGAATAAAAATTGACCAATTTGACCGGGAACATGGCTCACCATGAAGCTTGAAGACGCCTATATCTGACTTGCATATTTACCCCTCTCCACTGACAGGGTAAATACTAGAATTTACAGTGTTTGTCTAATTGACTAAATGGGCAAGGCTGTAAAATAGTGCAAGTTAGGTAATTCAACTAATAAGTTTGACCCATTTTACCAGTTTTTGACTTGGACAAAGTTTTACCAAATGACCATGAAATCTCTACATGTGTAAAATCTAATTTTAGTATTTATCGTGCACTCGAGGTTCGGTGTTTGTATTTGTTATTTCACAGTACCACTATATACCTAGTTTCCGGCTGTTGGAATGGTCAAACAAAGATCCCACGACCCGGGTGTAGGAGATTCTGATTTGGAGTCTTTGGACATGTTATTATGATTTATACATATATTTTGCCTAACCAATAATTTTTTGATTATCTCATAAAAAAATCTTATAGGAAATTATGAATTGCGAGGTCTTTATCCAGAAGAAAAAACGTAGCGACCAGCAAGCCAGCCATTCCTATTCTTAGATTTGGGGGTCAAAAGTTCCTCATCTTAGCTACGCGTCAAACGGCAGGAACATCCACCCTCGCATGGACCCCACTATCACCCTCCACGATCCTTCCCCGGCGCGTAAAGCAAGATCTGCCGGGAAGGCAGACGACGGAGGGACAATAGAGGTAAAAAGTATAAAAGAGCAGGGTCAAAATAGTCCAGAAAAGGGTGGCGTGCTTTAACGGCATAAAAGCTTCTTAAAAGTCCTCTGAGCCACTCTGTAACAGTCCCCTACTCTCTACACACACACACACTAGACCCAAACACACTTTCTCTCTCTAACTTTCCCTCTCTCTCTCTGTCTCTCTGCTTTTTCTTTTTTGTTATTATTTTCTTTCGCTGCAAAATTTAGCAGAGGAGGAGAGAGGAGGAGACAGCTGCGTCAGAGCCAAACCGATCAGATTATATATCAAACATCATCGAGTCATTGAGATTTGCGCCTTGGAAAATCACATAAAGAAACGAGAGGAAAATCTTTAGCGGATCAGGGGTGAATTAAAGTAAAGGCGGCGAGGATATATTATGAGCTTTGCAGACTGAGGGGGAGAGAGAGAGAGAGAGAGAGAGAGAGAGATAAAACAGAGGCTCTTCATAAAATCCTCTGATGCAAAAATTACAACTTCCAAGCAATTCTCTCTCTTTTTGATTTTTTTCCTTTTGGGTTTTGGGTTTTAATTTATGGGGTATGAGTGATTTGGTTGAAATAGTTGTGGTTTCATCAATGTCATCATAAAGGCTTGAAATGAATGGGAGCAAGAGCGCAAAGGTCGAGGCTTTGCTATAAGGCCAGGGCAGGGCTTGTGTCGGTCCAACGTTTCTGCTGGTTGCGTGATTTACAGAAAGAGAGAGAGGGGGGAGGAGTGAGAGAGAGTGAAAGGAAGAAGGAGAGGACCTCTAAAGAAGCGCCATTTTTGGTCTCGGTATTTGGTTTTGTCCTCAAGAGCGACGAGGGGGTTTTGTCTCTGTTCAGCTGAGCTGAGCCTCAGGACCCGCCATTTTAGAGAGAGAAAGTTGGCATTGGCCGCAGCTTCATCAGACTCTGAAGAAACGGAGGCTACGTTTGTGGAGTAGCTGTACTTGTCTATAGGTTGTTTGTTACCGTAACTTCTGGTGGCTTAGAAATTTATTTTGGGGTAAAAATGAAGTTTATGAAGTTGGGGTCCAAGCCTGATGCGTTTCAAGCTGATGGGAAGTCTATCAGGTAAATATGGCTTTTCAAGTTTTGTTTTTCCACAAGCCTTACTCAGTAGAGCCATTTAGTTTTTTTGTTTTTGTTTTTGTTTTTAATTTTCCTCTGCTTTCGATGCTCTGCGCTGAATAGGGTTCCCTTAGATTCTGAACTTGAGGTCTTCTTCCTCCCCCCTCCCTTCCCTCTCCTCTTTCTCTTTTTTATCAAAATTATTTTTCCCCTTGAAATTGTGAAATTGTTCTTTTTCGTTTCGCAATGCGTATATGTTTGAGGTCTTCTTTGTATAAGCATGCTCTGTTTTGTACATAAATGGTGAAATGCTTCCCTTTTTCATTTTTGTTTCGCAATGCATATATGTTTTGGGGTTTTCTTTGTATAAGTAAGCTCTGCTTTGTACATAAATGGTGAAATGCTTCCATTGCATGGTGAAGAAAGGGTGAAATTACTGTTAGGTGGTGATTTATATACCTCAATATACAGAAAAAGTGAAGGATTAACTGCCACCATACAAGAAAACACCCCCTTTTATTTTCTTGGATAAGATATACAAGAAACTTTTTAGGAGATAATAAATAAGAAAACAAAGCAAGAGATGAAGAAGGCACATGGGCGTTTTGTGTTGTTATTATCATTGTTTTTCTCTTTTTTCTTAAAGTATTGCAATTTTAATTGTCGAGAGTAGGGTAAAGGGAGTTGGGGGGTATCGAAGGGTTTCAGGGGGTGGTCCAGCCTTGGAATGTCACTATTTTAGTTGAGTTTGTGGTCCAAATGTGGTAAAGTCATATGAGGTACCCAAGATCTGTAATCATCACTCTGGTGAAATCCTGCCTGTAAACAATGACATGGGTTCAACCAACCCTTTTTTTATTTTTATAAAAATCTTTAAACAAGCTCACTTGGTGATTATATCTCCAGTTGATTTAGTAGCATTTTATGTCAAACAAATTATATGTGAAATTTGTCTTCTGGTGCATCGTTTTTCCTTCGTCTGATTAAATATGCAAATGACTGGAACTTTCTTAGGTCTTGCATGTGCCGGTTTCATAGATGCAAATTGTATTGTTAGGTTGAAAGAGAGTTAGATGCATTGGTGAATTAGATGGAATATTAAAACATGGACTACATGACAGTTTGTTGTCCAACTGTATTACTTCATGGCAGTATTAATTCGCTGGTAGTTTCAATTACAACTTTAAGGGATTTTGAATATTGTGCTACAGCATGCCATCTTGCCTTATCTAATTTGAAGTCTATAACCTGACTGGGGTTTTTGAATTTGCACAAACCAGCTTCTCATTGTAAAAATTTACTAAGAACAAGATTGAAAAGCTTGATGCATTAACCCAGTAACCTAATACCTCCAAACTGGTTTTAAATTCAACCTATTGAGCCTTTTGTTGTTGTTGTTGTTGTCATATGCATCCAACTATGAAGATATTTTACATTTGCATGCCTTCTTATAGTTTTCTACCGTCCTTGTGTCTATGTGATTAACTGATTTCATATGTTCATGCAGATATGTGTCATCTGAATTGGCAACAGATGTCATTATAAATGTCGGGGAAGTGAAGTTTTATCTTCACAAGGTACTTTTTCCTTGCCACCCTTTTTCGTCAAATGAGATGATTATTTTGTTATACTTGCATCACGTTTGTTTTGATATTTTGGTGTCATATATGCATATGAATATTCTTAAATTTTATGTTCCTTTGAACAAGTATAGCAGTTTTCAGATTTAAAATGTGGGTGCTCATTATTGAAATGATATATTCCTTTACTAAAATTACTGCTGCTTTTCTCTACCAAAGCTTGCTATTGTTAACTCTATTTTTCTTTTCAGTTCCCTCTCTTGTCGAAGAGCAATCGCCTGCAAAAACTAGTATCTGAGGCCAATGAAGAGAATTCTGAAGAAGTTTACATGGTTGATTTTCCTGGTGGGCCAAAATCTTTTGAAATTTGTGCAAAATTTTGCTATGGAATGACTGTTACTCTCAATGCTTACAATGTTGTGGCTGCTCGTTGCGCTGCTGAGTATCTGGAGATGACTGAGGATGTTGATCGCAGTAACCTAGTATTCAAAATTGAGGTTTTCCTTAACTCGAGTATCTTCCGTAGCTGGAAAGATTCCATTATTGTTCTCCAAACCACCAAACCTCTTCTGTCATGGGCTGAGGATCTGAAGATTGTTGGAAGATGCATAGATTCAGTTGCTTCTAAAACATCTGTAGACCCTGCCAACATCAGCTGGTCCTACACATATAACCGAAAACTAGCAGAGACTGATAAAATTGTGGAAGAAGGGATGAATTATCGAGTTCCCAGGGATTGGTGGGTTGAAGATATATGTGAGCTGGATATTGATCTCTACAAGCGAGTTATGATTGCTGTGAAATCAAAGGGAAGAATGGATGGTGCTGTTATTGGGGAGGCCCTGAAAACTTACGCAGTTAGATGGTTGCCAGATTCTGTTGATGCACTGGTTTCTGATGAGCATGCCTTGAGGAACAAATCTCTGGTAGAAACAATTATTTGCTTATTGCCTTCTGACAAAGGTATGGGTTGTTCATGCAGTTTCTTGCTGAAACTTTTGAAAGTTTCTATTTTGGTTGGAGCTGACTACTCATTGAGGGAGGATTTGGTGAAGAGGATCAGTTTGAAGTTGCACGAAGCTCGTATTATTGATTTATTGATCCCAGCTCGATCTCCTCAAATTACTATATATGATGTTGAATTGGTTCAGTCTGTTGTGAATCAGTTTCTGATGCATGAAAAATGTAACTGGAATTTGGATGTGGTTGAGAAAAATGAAAAGGGGAGTGGTAAGTTTATCTTAGGGCATGGATCATTGTTGAGTGTTGGTCGACTGATTGATGGGTATCTTGCGGAAATTGCACATGACCCAAATCTTAACCTCTGTAGTTTCATAGACTTATCACAATCGATTCCTGAGTTGGCAAGGCCCATTCATGATGGATTGTACAAAGCCATTGACATCTACCTGAAGGTACGCGCATTTAAGCCATGTCCAGCTACGTTTTTTATTCTCTTGATTTTACTCCATGCTTTTATCTTCTCACTAGAGTTGCCTTGTCATGCTTCTGAGATTCAAGTAAGAGGATAGGATTTACCATTCTCTTTCAGACTATGAGATGGTCAAACGTATGTATGGTCCCAATAGATCAGAACCTTATTTGATGCCTGTTGTTTATGAAAAATAACTTTTCCTTGCAACTCCCAGCCATGTAAAACCTTTTGGATTTCTCTTTGTTCTGTCTCGTCTGGATGTGGATAAGATATTATTCACATTACATGCATGTTTAAAGCATTCCATATTCTATGCAGAGGACACACACCACATGACTTAAAATTTAGGCCATTGAGTAATATAAAGAGAAATGAGGGAATGTAAATCCCTGCAATAAGGCTCTTATTTATTTATTTATTGATCATAATCAATTGTAATGACAGCCGTAGAATAGGGAACCAGATTAGTTGATTGGTGGGAAATATATACAACCCTTACTGTGTTAGTGAAATATTTACATGAATACTGATTAGTTGTTTTGTCTCCAGGAGCACCCAAGTTTGACAAAGGCTGAAAGGAAAAGAATAAGTGGATTAATGAATGTCAAGAAACTGACAATGGAAGCATCGATGGATGCTGCACAGAATGAGCTGCTTCCACTCCGAGTTGTTGTTCAAGTTCTCTTTTTTGAGCAGGTAAGATCTGCAGCTGGCCTTCGAGCTGCTAACAACCATCCCAGTGATGCTTCGCTTTCCAGGACAAATTTGGATGAAGAATGTGACAAGACGGCGTTGGCAGAAGAAGAGAACTGCAAACCTCTGGGGAAGCATATGAGCGAAATTAAGGTAACTGAAGAGTTCCAGAAGAATGGGAAATTGGGCAAGAAGAACAGCAAAAACAGTAGAAGTGGTGTGCAATTGTTGCCATCTAGGTCAAGGAGAATCTTTGATAAATTATGGTCTGTGGGTAAGGGGCAGCATGTAGAGAACAGGAGCTCTGAGACATCTGGGAGTTCTCAGAGTCCAACTTCAATTGTTCCTGGTGATGCAAAGTCTGTTTCATCTTCAAGACACAGGAGGCATTCTATCTCCTAGAAAGGGTGACTTCTGAGCTGCTTAGAATTGAATGAGTCGGGAAAGTTCCAACTACCAAGTGTACAAAGGGGTAGAATTTGTTGTAGCTGATGATGATCTATCATATTGTCCTTCTATCTACCATATATTATTTTAAAGGGAGTTCATTGTAGTTAAAATTTGTGTGCCTTGTCTAACATCCTTTGGTTCCACTTGTAAAATTATGTGTTTTTGTGCTAAGTGCTGGTTCATTTGGATTTAGAGATCTCAGATCATTTCTTTTCTTTCATTGTCATCAGACTATCATGCCACTATCTTAATTCCACAGAAATTATCTGAACTGAAATTTCAAGTGAAGAAAATTATCTTTTTCCAGACTTTTAACATGTTATGTTGTTAAACAGCTAGCACTCGATCGGGTGATTGTTTGTATGATTTTAAAAGATGTTCCATGTTTATCAAATCTCTCCTGTTAATAATAAAAATAAAAATAAAAACCTCACTTATTAGAGATCGTTGTGAGAGAATATTCCCCTGCAATTAGATGCATGATAACAGAATATATGAGGGACCATTTCACTTGTAGATGAAATATTAATTTGAGATTAATTCGGAATAAATAAAGGATGAAATTGTAAATTCAAATTCATCAAATATAGAAACTAACGTTCGATTTCCTTTTGAAGTTCGAGTTTTTGACTTTCTTTCCATATCCAGTCATTGATTGACCCAATCGTATGAGAAGGAAGCCATAGCCATAGAGCGAGAGAAAGATGAAAGTCGCTGGCAGTCACAGAAGCACCATCTTCATCGCGATTGCTCTCTCCCTGATAGTGAATCTGCTTCTGCTACCAGTCACTGAATCAGCGCAATGCAAAGCATGGCTCGTCCAATCAATCCCCACCGACATGCCCGGTCTTCCTCGTGTCCCTGGCGTCCTCTCCACCGGTGACATAAATTTCATCGCTCAAAAATCAAAACCCAATAAGCAAAATCTTCACTTGTTTTGATTGTAATTCGTTGTGTTCGTAATTTGTGCAGGGGATGTGCTTAAATGGTTGGCGTCGAACTCAACAGAGAGACTGGACGTAATTGCTCAGTACTGGCAGTTGGTAGCGCACCCTGAAGATCCTCGCTCTGGGGATTTTGGGTACTCAAAAGAGGATTTGCAGAGATTTGGAGCTCAGGAAGGTGCTTCTGTTTATAGCGCCTTGGAAAATGCTGCAGATCGCAATGTTACTATCAGGTTACACCTTTGCACTTGCTTATTAAGCCATTGCTAAAGAACCCACATGCCATTTCTCAGAAAAAGTTTTAAGATTGTAGCTAATTTATGTGTTGATTAATTTAAAGTGATTATATTGTTTGCGTTGTTGATAATGTCTTAGCCTTTTAGGCTACTTTCACACTCAGGTGTATATCCTGACTATACCACAGAACCAACCAACCTTGCTTCAGGAAGGCCTAATGTAAAGAATGTGACTTTACTGCTTAGTGATTGGTGGGGATCAGGCATAGTCCATACTAAAGTCTGGATATCAGATCGACGAGATGTCTATATTGGATCAGCAAACAATGACTGGAAATCTCTCACACAAGTATTTTGTGAAACTTTGCTACTTTTGCAAATTTATCATGTTGCTTTGTATAGTTTACTTTTCCATTTAAGATGTACTTTTATTAAATGGTTGCAGGTGAAGGAACTTGGAATTTACTTGGTTGATTGTCCAAAAATAGCCAGAAATGTTGAGACCTACTTTGACAACCTATGGAAGCTTGCATCTCTTAATTCTACAGCTCACACAACAACAGTATCGGATCAACAGTGGCAGATCGATAGACAAGTTCCTTGCTGGTCACATTTTGTGGAGTATAAAGCGAGGTGTAGGTATGTTTTGAGGCTGGTAGTTGGAAACTGGTTCAATTCTAGTTTACAATGCTGGATATTCATATAAAGATATTTGTATTAAGTGTCTGGATACTTTAGGTATTGTCTGTGTTTGCAATTTAAGTATGATGACTTGTATAGTTATGTCACTCTCACTGCAGTTCACCTCTTCCTGGATCTGTGGAGACTCACCATGTAGCAGGATATCCTATAATGTCAGATCCATATATGTTCAAATTGCCACTCCAGACTCCTGGATATAATGATTCAAATTTGCAACCCCAATCCAGCTATCTCTCTTTTGCTCCTCCAGAGGTAACTTGGCAATATCTAACTTTTTCTTTTCTTAAATGTAAGTTTTGGTTCTCTTTGTATAATTGTAAATGGAAAAGTCAGTTGGTCATATATTTTCTTTATATAGTCTATCAGTAGTGTTAAGGTACACGTTCTTCATTTTGTGTGTATTTGACTTGCGTCCCAACTTCTCTTCTTTATCCATTTTGACGGCATTTGGGGTCTGCAGCTATCATTTGGTAGGTATCAGGCTGATGAACAGGCATGGATAGAGACGATTAAATCTGTAGGAATTGGAGGGACTGTTAGGATTAGTACCATGGACTGGCTTGGTCAGTCCCAATATTTAAAGCAAACAGTTTATTGGGCATCCCTCTCCTCTGCAATATCAGAGGTAAACTCTTCCACTGTGACTGCTTCTCGTTTATTTTATTCAAGCTTTTCCCACTAATTAAAAGCTCACAAGACATATGAATTATATAATTCGCAGGTTGTCTTCTCGAAGAAGGCAACAGTGAAGATATTGGTAGCATACTGGGCACATTTTATCAACAGCACAGATCCGTACCTGAAATCTCTCCTCTACTCTAATGTTCTCTGCTCGTCATCCAAGTATAACAATTGTGCTGGGAAAGTTGAGATCAAGTACTATATAGTCCCAGGTTTCAACTTGACAGGACCTGCTGCCACTGCCAGTGGTACAGATACTGGAAATATATACCCTGGTTATACCCGGGTCAATCATGGAAAGTATGCAGTAAGCAATGTTCGAGCTCACATAGGGACAAGCAATCTTATTTGGGATTACTTTTATACAACGGCGGGTGTCAGCTTTGGAACATACAAGCCTGCCATTGTTTCTCAACTTCAAGAAGTCTTTGATGCTGACTGGGATTCTCCATATGTTGTGCCAGTTGAAGAGTTGGGGGAAGGTGGTAGTGCTTGTTCAAGCTGATGAGCACTTGCTTGAATTTCTTGTGCTTGGAGAGTTGCAAATCAATGGACAATGCCCTGAATATAGAATGTAAATGAAAGTGCTGGACGTATGTTTCTCTGGAATTAGGATAACATACAATTGGAAAATTAAACCTGAATAAAGACAGTCATTTTTTTCTCTATCTAAAATCTTTCTCACGGGTACCTGAACCTGACATGTATGTAGAGCTTTCTTTTTGTTGGAGAAGGTAAGATTATGCCCAGCCAAACTTTTAACTGTGAAATGGATTTCCTTTCATCTCAAACAATTGCTCTATCTCTTGCTAATTGAGTAAACTGAAATTTTTTTTTTCCAGGAAAAATTTATGGGTATCCAAGCTATTGTTCATCATAACCATAAATTTTAGAATAGCAATTTTCACCCTTTACTTTATGTTTTTTTTAAAATATATTCAAACCTTAAAAAATTTCAGGCTTGCCTCCAAAGTTTTTTTTTTTTAAGTCTAAAAAATATATATTTGAAAAAAAAAAAAAAAAAAGGATTAAGGATGGGCTCGTGGACCTTTACGCATGGCCTTGTGGGCCAAGTTCTATCTGGGCCCTTAGTGACGCTGCCCGTTTCGCCCATATCTACGCTAGAGAGGGACCCAAATCCAAATTGTGACCCAAACCAAGGCCCCGACCCACATTTTAGCCCGAGAAATAAGACGATCAGACTTTTATCTGCAGTCAGACAATCGAACGGTTGAGAGATTGTCTGATTGATGCAGCAACACTAGAAACGGTGCGCATAGTATCAGGGTTTTAGCTTAGCGAGCTGAGACTGAAAACCCAGAGAGTGATTGCGAGAGCGCTGAAAAATAGCAGACACAGAGAGATGCAGAAAGCAAAAGCTTTTGAAGCTTTGAGGAGGTGTGTGAGCCAGAGAGGAAGCTCTCTTTCCCATCACAGAGCCTTTTCTGCTCAACCAAACTATGCCCAATATGATGATGTCGAAGACCTGGTCTCTCTCTCTCTCTCTCTCTCTCTCTCTCTCTCTGTAATGATTTCATTTCCGGACAAGCACCCATCTTTTTTTTTCCCTTAATATATTCTACTTGGGTTTGGTTCCAATGCATTCTTTCATTTGTTTATGAATGTAAATTCAGGTTACGGTTGAGGGAAGAGCTAAATCAAGAGCAGCCATTCTCAATAGACCATCTGCACTGAATGCTCTCAATAACGCTATGGTTTGTGTCCTTGATGTCTCTTCAATTTTGTTGCTTTCTCTTTTCTGGAGTTTGATTTTGAGATTTTCTTTCTTGCTTTTTATAGGCAGCTCGCCTGAAGAGACTCTATGAATCATGGGAGGACAACCCAGATATTGGATTTGTTTTGATGAAGGTATGATGTTGTTCCGTGCGAAAACAGTTTTTGGGTTTAAGGGCATCATGTTTTTTTTTTTCTTCTTCTTCCTTTTATCAGATTATTTAACTTCTTGCAATGTGCTGAGTATCACTATATAACACACTGTAGAATCATGGGGTAGGAGGGTCCTTGAACTCAACTCAAACTATTAGCCCTATATTTAAGTTTTGAGAACATGTAGTTACCTCTAATTTTGAATAAAATGAAATATTATGATGATTGCATCGGAAATATCTACTTTATTATCTCTTGAGAAAGACTTGCTCTGAGGTGCTACTTGATTTTTTGCGTTTTAAAGGGTAGTGGGAGGGCCTTCTGCTCTGGTGCAGATGCTGTTAGCCTTTATCAACTAGTGAATGAAGGTAACTCAGTCATTTTTTTTGGGGTGACAGTTTTATGCAATGCAGGCCTGTTTGCAGAGCATTTTCCTTCCTCTGGTCTTAAATGTTAAATATTTACATGGCATTGTTTGCTTTTTTTTTCAAATGCTTTGATACTGTGCAGGGAATGTTGAGGAATGTAGAAACTTTTTCGAGACATTGTATAAGTTTGTATATATCCAAGGAACCTACCTGAAGCCACATGTGAGTATTTACCTTTTTTACCAGTGCGCTTTATACTAAATTAGCCGTACTAGTATAATTGTATGATAGATTTTTAATCCAATATCACCACTTTTAATACATAATCTGAGTTGAAGGCTTGTAGCACACCCAGAGTTCTACATATGTTATAAATATAAAGAACAATTTATGCGTAGGAATGTTTTTTCAAGTTCCTATCGAAATTTAAATGTGGCTTTTGATGATCACTTGATCATATATGTGCAGGTAGCGATATTGGATGGTATCACCATGGGAGCTGGAGCTGGCATTGCACTCCCAGGAATGTTCCGGGTGGTGACTGATAAAACTGTATGTGGCTGCTGCTTACTTTACGAATCAGTCTCACTAGATTTTGTTTTTTGTTTTGGTTTTTTTTGTTTTTCGTTTTTGGTTTTGAAGTGATTTCTTTCTTAAAACGAATAAATTGAACTATGTATTCCGAAAGACGACACCTATTTTAAATTCTGAGTATATCGTGTTACTGTTTTAAGCTTTGATTTGAAAGTAAAGCATTGAACCTTGATGAAGATATGAATATGGAGGAGAGGGAGATGGTTGATTGGTTTACTTATAACGAGGACTGTTTTCTTGGAAAAGTCATGTCTTTTTGCTCTGGAATGATTTTCAAATTTGGAGAAAAGTCTTACGTGCCAAAGACTCTCCTAGCTATGCTTCTTAACACCTTCAGTGAAGCATCTTCCTATCTTCTGAAAAAGAAAACAACTCTTCATTTTTCTTTTCTACCTGACGTGTTTGAATGAGGTGTAGACTTTGTTTCAATTCTTTTCAACTGGGCTGCATTTCTGCAGGTATTTGTCAATCCAGAGACTCAGATGGGTTTCCATCCTGATGCAGGGGCTTCCTTTTATCTGTCTCGTCTACCTGGCTACCTAGGTAACATATACTTTGTAGATTTGAGATGTTCAGCCTTTATCATAATCTAAAAAGGATTATATTTGCCTCATGTTTTATGTGCTTCATTTTTTGCAGGAGAATACTTGGCTCTTACAGGAGACAAGCTTAATGGTGTAGAAATGATTGCATGTCGCCTTGCTACGCACTATACGCTAAACGCAGTTTGTTTGCACTGCACTTTATTCTTCTGCGCCCTTGTTTCAGTATTTCATTATTAATATGCATCTGATGATCATCAAAACTTTTCCTGCCAGAGACTTGCTGTGTTTGAAGAACGCCTTGGTAAATTAGCTACAGATGAACCTTCTGTAATAGAAACATCTCTTGCACAATATGGTGACCTTGTTTATCTAAACAAGAGGAGTATACTTTCTAAGTAATTTTCTGTCACATATTTCTTGGTACTGCAGCAATAACAATAAGATTTAACAGTTACAGAGAATTTATTTCTAGTGGCATTGATCCGTGCGTCTGACTTGCTTTATCTCCATTTTGTATGTCAACTCAGGCTTGAGGTTGTTGATAGATGTTTCAGCCATGACACGATTGAGGAAATTATTGATGCTTTGGTAAGCATGATATGTTCTTCTAAACCAAAAGGAACTTGTACCACAATCTGTTGATCGACTACATAACCATGCCATTATTGCTCAGGAAAAGGAAGCTGCTGATTCTTATGATGAATGGTGCACAACAGCCCTCAAGAAACTAAAAGAAGCCTCCCCCTTGAGTTTGATAGTTTCTTTGCGATCTGTGAGTTACCACTGGATAGCATGCTATAGAGTTATACCTGTATTGTTTTTATGCTATATGCTTGACTTTCACTTGTGCATTCAGATACGTGAGGGCAGATTTCAATCACTTGATCAGTGTCTGACTCGTGAATATCGTATATCCCTTAATGCAATTTCCAGACGGGTTTCTAGTGACTTCTTTGAGGTATGGGGTTTTCAAATTTTCATGTACTGAACATCTTTTAATCTGCTTTTTACATTGCCTTTGTTTCTATCTTCCCATAGGGTGTTCGAGCAAGATTGGTGGACAAGGACTTTGCACCCAAGGTAGTCTACTTTTATTCCAAAGAAAGTAACAATCTTTTTAAATCTTTTTTCAAATAGTGATCATATAATTGATTTTCATCCCAATTCTGCAGTGGGATCCTCCTAGTTTAAAAGAAGTGTCCAAAGACATGGTTGACTGCTATTTCTCCCCACTTTCAGAATTTGAGCCTGAGCTGGAGCTGCCCACAGCGTCACGAGAGCCATTTATGCAATTGACGGATTCACATAAAAAATGACACTGAACTTATGCAATGCTTTGTTTGTCGCGTTAGAATTCGTCCTTTTTAACATACCCCTTGGAAATTATTTCAACGCATTTCTTTGTAATAGCATTGTATCATCTGAAAGTACAGGCTTTTTAGTTGCTATTAGCTTCGGGAGGACTTGTTATTTTTTGTTGGTCATACAATGAATATAAAGGGTTTTCACTTCTCAGACGATCATCAAGTTATCTTAGAGTGGTTTGGATCACATCCAGATGCAGAGGAGATATATTTATCACATTCAAACCTACAATTTCATCAAGTAAAACATACAAAACTTTGTAATGAACATGTCATGGGTCAAATTATGTAAGGATATAAAAGAAGACTAAGAGCACAAGCCCAAAGTAGACCGCACCTACCTCTAAAAGAAAAGGTCGTTTCTGTTTTCAGTAGTGTTTAGAGGGGTCGCATTTCGAATACTGATTCTTTAAAGAGAGAATTGTTTTTTAAGAGATTCTTTAAATATACAACTAGGTGTCCTGATAACATCTGGAACCAAAATATACAAAAACTGATGTGTACTAGCTGAAATATTCATCAGTCTAAAAGCAGGTGTTCACTCCACAACTATTCATTCACTCAACAAAACCGGGTCTCGAACTTTAAGCTTATGCCCATGCTGAAAAGCTCCTGGCACAATAGCTTCGCTCCATATGGTACATTAACCCGAACAAGGTCATCAGCAGAGTCGCAAATCCGGCAATGAGGACCCCTGATCTTACGGCCACCAGCGACTGTTCGTAGGATCACATAAGCCACATTTTTGCATTTCTGGCAAACATGCATTTGGGAGGAGTCACTAAGAGTGAAGAGGCGTTCATGTAAATTTGCTGAAGCTCCATGGGCTATAAGGCAGTCACGTTCCATCTCACCAAACTTGATCCCACCAAATCGCTTCCGATCTGCCACTGGCTGTCTGGTCAAAGGATGGACTGGCCCAGTGTTCCGAAACTTAACTTTATCTTCAGACATGTGAATCAAGCGCTGGTAAAATGTTGGGCCCATAAATATCAGGGAACGAACCATTGCACCAGTTGCACCATTGTATACTCTCTCATTTCCCCATCTTGAAAATCCAGCGCTGACATAGATATTTAAAATACATAAATAACGTTATTCCATTCAAGGGAGAAAATCAAAAACAAAATTTTCTTAAACACAAGAACAATTTGGGCAAGTAAATTCTGCTTGAATTTTTTCATGCAACTTACCAACCAACAACATTTAACTTGAAAAGCAACCGATAACTGAAAATGAAGGGCCAACATTATTGTACTTAGCAACGTAAAAGCAAATACACCACAATAAGTTTTAGGCAGTGAAGTTATGCAAGGTCTCATGGCATATACTCAAGACAACACAGTGGAGAAAACTTCTTTTGTATAGCAACAAACATACAATATAAAAATTCAGACAAACCATGCATGGAGACTCGGCACTATTTTCTATGGACACAAGAAGCAAATGTCTAACCACAGAACCGGGTATGCAACTCAACTCAACTCAACTCAACAAACTTTAACTCCAAGTAACTTACTCGCCTTTAATGCACCTCAGGAACATTACAGTCACATAGTCAAAAATTTCATATGGTTGTTAATTATACAATAACACTTTTCATCATTAAAATTGAGGAAAGCCCCATATTAACCCATTGCATGTCCATAGAGAGACATTCCAAAAGAAACAGCCATGGCTGAGAGTCTGAGAAGTAAAATGATGTCAGGGTGAAGTTGGACGAATGTCAGTGTTCAACAATAGTTCAGGCTCCCATAAAAGTGTGAAATGTGAAATTAAAGTGGACTATTTTAAGGTGCAGTTGAAGTATACAAGTCATGAATTAGAATGACTGAGTTACCTATGCAGTTGGTCTGTGATGTCATCAACAGAGAGCGTAGAGAAAGGCGTTGCATATCTCTTTGAACCACCACAGGCAATTCCCTTCCCCAAAGCAGCCTCTAGGAGTTGACCAGGAGTTTGTCGTGAAGGAAATGCATGTGGATTAATTACAATATCTGGAACCACCCCCTGTATTGTGAAAGGGAAGTTCTCTTGGGACTCCAGAAACCCCAGGACGCCTTTTTGTCCATGCATGCTTGAGAACTTGTCTCCAAGGCATGGAGAACGAACCTATTCAATTAATTACACAGGGAATTAGTGAATGGAATTCAGTTTTTTTAAAGTGAACTTAGTAAAAGCAATAGGCAGGCCCTTAGAACTATTATTTCAATGGCAGATTTACTTGCAGCAGATTACAGGCACATGCTGCCATCTTCCATTGTATACAGATCCTACATATTCTCGCAAACCATCTTAGTGTGAACCAAAATATGTAGTTGGACATGCATCTACATTTGTGCATGTGCCAGCATCCAAATAGATGTCCATGCTTTCATTAAATTAAGTTATGACATACATACCTGTCTTAGAGACACAACAGCAAAATTCTTTCCATCATCATTAGAAGAAAGTAGAACTTTCTGAACCATTCCCCTTTCAGTGTGCTTCAGTTTGATGCTATGATCAGCTCCTGATTCACTGCACCTCCCAATTATAATATCACCACTCTGCAAATTTGCACCAACATATGGAAAACCATCATCATCGAGGCTGTCAACACGTCCAAATTTACTTTGCATCTTTCCAAAATTGACACAATCATCAGGCTTCCGCCTCTTGTCCAGAGACTCCTTGTTGTCAACCTCAGCCTTGTAACTTCTTATGTGTTCAGATCGGAACATACCACGTTCCAATGATGCCCGGTTCATTACTATGCTATCCTCTTGGTTAAATCCTAAGTGGACATTGACTGCCACAATAGCGTTCTGGCCATTATAGTATTCAGGCTTTGGAACAATTCTGTTATGGCGTCCTGGTTTTCCAAGACAATCAGATGTCATTGTCTGGAAGAGTGGCCTCTGGGGGTAGTGCAGTTGGTGAGACAGAGTATCCACTCTGAGGTTAGGATTGGTGGTAGAAAAACCAATAGCTTGTTGAGAGTGCTTCTGGGCTTGGTATAGGACCCTCCGTGCGTGGTCGTGATTTGCATATGGGATAATGCCACAGCTTAAACCTAATAAAAATGACATGTCAAGTTCACAGTGTGTGAACTTCGCGGCTGATTTTCCCTTGTCTTCCATGAAAAGATACTTAATACCCCACGCAGTAGAGCAGTCTTCTTCTTCTTCTGCTCCAATGAGCTCGATTATTCCATTGTCAAGAAAATATTGGAAGGAACTTTTCCCCCCTTTGGATGATTTAACCTTGTTCAAATTCTCAACTACCAAGAGAGGGCGTAGGATCCTTCCAGCATCAGAAAATATGCGTACTTCTCCTTGGTGTACATCTCTCTTGATTTCGACCTGAGACAAAATTGTCACCAGTATTAGATACTCTATTATAATAACTGAGGTATCTATCATAAATGCATGCTAATTGCTTATTCGTAAAGAAAATCATTGTGTAAATAGCAGATGAACTAAATTGGTCATAATAACTGAATTATCCATCATATATACATGCTACTTGCTTATTAGTAAAGAAAAATCACTATGAATTGCAGGTGAATAAATTTACTCTAAAAACTGAGATATCCACCATAAATAAATGCTACCTGCTAACTACTAAAGATAAATCATGGTATAAATAGCAGGTGAATAAATTTACTCTAACTACTGATAAGCGAATAAACAGCAAAATTATAATCCCTAGTTAAAAGACAGAAGTTTCTTTTAACAGGAATTATAATTCACGATGCATCCAGCACTGGCTAGCTTCTTGGGAACCAAATCATATAATTCATGATGTATACCCTTGTAATTGAAGAGATGAAGTAACAGAAATAGGTTATACTAAAATACGAAATAGTTTCATAAACAATGCTCCTAATGCTGTGGTATAAGACTATCCACAGAAAGTCATCTTTATACATCGTAATTCAATTTGCCTGCCTAAACTGAAGCACAAAGAACTTACGGGCATTATAGCAAAACCAAAGCAATTTGAAATTTGAAACTTATCAATGCGATTGAACAAGAGAAAACCTGATGTGGCAACTTTTTCCTGCGACGCATCCTCCTTAGTTCCAAAACAAATGAGAGGGAATCTTCACAAACTCCAACCCAGTCTCCATTCAGAAAAACTTTATCCTTCCCACGCAGTGATGTAAAAGTATCATCCACCAATTTCTCCATGCCACATGTTAATAATTGGGGTATCAGAGATTCCAGTACATTTGTACTAACTAGTCCAGTGGTAGCCAAATTTTTTACAAGTCCACAATTCTCACCATCCGGGGTTGAGAGAAAGCAAACCTTACCCCAGTGAGAAGGATGCCTGCATCCAGAAGGTTCTATTAGCCACAATTACAATTTTCCAAAATATCTCCAGAACAAAAACAAAAATAGTAAAACCAGTTGAAATAAGTTGAAAGTTACTCACGGGTATCTGGCATCTCCAACCTTCCCTGTATATTGAACCTGCTGCCTTGTCTTCCTCATATCCACCATTGTCTGCAGCGGATTTGCTCGCCCAACTGTTGCAACTACACCAGACATCCTCTCCATCCTCTTGAAGGGATGACACCACGCTCCAGTTGAGAATGCTCTAGAAATACCATTAGTCACTATAGAAGCATCTAGATAGTGCTCTATCGGCCGCACAGCACGATCACCATAAAGGTCTCTCTGCAAGGCCTTTGCCATGCGCCTCCGTGCATGTCCAATATGTGCCTTGAGCTCTCGCTCTAGAAGCTCACCAGCCAAGTCCAACCTCTTGTTCCTAAAGTCATCCCTATTGTCACATTTCCTGCGGCCAGCATAGGCCTGTAATAGAGACTTTACCATATACCCAAGAAAGCGAGCCTTTTGCTTTAGGCCTTTCAGATTGGGGAACAGATACAGGCTAATGCATTCTTCCATACTTTCCCCAGGAGGAAATGCAGTTTTCCTTATCACCTCATCCACATATTTGAGGGCATTCTTCCCCCTACGGAACCCCCCATCTACTTTATCATTTAATTTATCTGCATCGCGAATAGAGGCAAAGAGTATGTTCGAGATGCTGGCATCTTCACTGTCATAATCAATCAGATTCATCACCTCTCTGTCTGATGAAACACCAAGGGCAAAAAACCATATCCACACAGGGATTTCCGTCGACATGAAGTAAACAGTAAGGACTTTCTCTACTCCTTCAATGTTTTCTAATTTGGAAATCCCGACTAGCCTAATTATTAGCCTATGCCTCTTAACCTCTGACCTGTATGCTACTGTCAATCCCTGATTATTTGTGATAAGAAGTCTCTTCAGACAGCTCTGTTCTTGTGCAATAAATGTCTGCATTATACATTGCACAGATGTCACTATAACTGTGTTTAACTAGATATAATACATTGCATAGCAGAGTCCACTTGAACATTTTAAAGGCACCAAATAACAAAGAACAAACAGAAAACTAGGAAAGTAATAAACTGACATTTTAAACAAATCATCTGAAACATACATTTCCCATCATAAATAATGAATTATCTGCATAACAGGAATTAAAGTAAGTTTTGGGCTCACCTTCTCTGCACCCTTGATTATGAAATAGCCTCCATGGTCAAAATCACAGTCTCCTTTCTCGAAGTCCTTCATCCAGCACAAGTCAGACTTCACCATCACAGGGACACTACCAATTATAATGTCTCTGGTGTCTGTACTCAGAATTTGCTTATCAAGATACTGTGCTTTTCCAGTCTTAAACTTATCACTACTCACAAGCTTTTGAGTATATACCTGGCAGATTACAAATAACCATACATTAGTAGATGTTATGAAGTTGGGAAATAAAAAGAAATATTTTCAGATCATTGTTTCAAACTTGGCTGTCAACATAGAAACTGCACTAATTTAACACTAACAACCTAACCAGATTCCAGATAAGGTCAAGTAAAATTTCATGCATTTTACTGAAATAGTTATCAAATTCATTTACCTCAACAGTAATGTTCACTTTCATCTTGGATGCGTATGACATGTTTTGAAGCCGAGCATGCCTAGGTAACATTTTATACTCCTTTTCATCATCTGAACCACCCCAAAAGCTTGGCATACCAAGGGTAACCTTGCCAAACTTCACAGAAGCATATCGCCACTCACTCTCTCCCTTCTTTGATGGGTCATACCCAGGCTCAACTATAATCTCACCAAAAGAATCAAAGACCCTTTGTATACCATTTTTTATGAAGTCATTGTATGAGTTGATTTGATGACTAATGAGGCCATACTCGTTGAAGAAAGCTATTGCAGCTTCCTTACAAAAAATCTTCAGAAACCCTTCCCCCAGGTCATGTATGCTAGTCGAATAATCGTAATCATCATCATATCCATTATCATCAATATCCATGTCAGCTATATCTGAAAAGCTTTCTCCCTTGCTGCTCATACCAATATCTCCCTTGGCATCCGATGACGCCCCCATTGGATTCAAGTCTTTTAAGAGAGTGAAGGAAAAGAAGCTGAACAACATATATAATATCAAATTAGCAATCCAGTTATGAAACCAATTGGAAAAGAAAATAAGAATGAAGTTCAAATCTCTTGAACCCAAACAACATTAGCACTTATTTCAATAAGAATATAGCAAAAACAACATAGAAAAGGAAGGAAAAACAACTTTTTGAAGACCCCACATAAAACCTAACTTCTAAAACTCTAAATGTGAACCTTAACACATACATGTGAGATATGAGCTATCTTCTTCTACTATCCAATTTTGTTCTTCAAAAACATTGAATCGTATATTCCAGTTCTGCATATATTAATTATGTACTTACCGGTTACCAAATTTATTTCAAAAAAGAAAGAAAAAGAAATATGTATAACAGTGCATCTTATACATGTCATACTTTCCATACGAGTCATTATGTTACTTAGTGGCATTTCCCACTTGAAGTTGGAAAAACACCACCAACAATGTTAAACGTGCATATTCATTTACACCTTGTTTAAATACTTCAGTATTCAAACTCAACTCTCATTCATTCTGGAATATATATTCCCATAAAACCCATAAACCCATCTGCAGCAACTTATCCATGCAAAACAAATGCTACGGCCTCCTCCTATCTTATAAAATTTGTTTATGTTAAACAAAGTACATTATGAAGAAAAACAAGAACATTATTAGGGATTTTCGGTTTGCTTTGCACTACTCTTTGCCTTTTCCACGACACTGGAGAAGGGAAAGCAATACTTTGTTTAACAACTTTACCAAGCACCTATTTCAAAGACAAGTCAGAAAAAAAAAATTAAAATTATCTCATCCATGCTAAAACCCCAAGCTAAACAAATAAATTAAGAAAGAGAATACCTCCGGAAGTTATTTTACAAAAAATTAAAAAGGAAAGATCAAAATTTATCATTAAGAAACTTTACTCTTAACAGAAACACATGGAGAGAAGAAAATGTATAAATAGAGAGATAGATAAGTACATACAGTGAGCTTGATCAGAGTGTGTTGTAGAACCCTAAACCCCTGACTGTAAAAATGTTGGCGATGAACGCTCCGATTATTAGGGTTTACAAACAATGCATGCGAGATTCTCGGATTTTCTTCGCTCTCTCACTCACTCTCACTGCGTTGAGCAAGAAAATGGGTCTCTGCTCTCTCTCTCTCCCCCTCTGTTGTGCTGTCCTTGTATGAGCAGGAGGAGACCATTTTTTGGATTGTAACGTTTCTCAGCTGCGAGCAATAAGAAACCAACTTCATCCTTATTTTGGGCTAATAAAAACAGCCCATATGAAATGGGCCACCTTGACCCGACCCAATTGTTGGGTCGTTGACCATGGTCTGATAGGCTATAGCTGACCTCATAAATAATTTTCGTATAAGAAAATACTTATATTAAAACAGTTTGTTTCAGAGAGTCCTTTTGGACAGATTTAGAATGACCCTTTCCCCTTTTTTGTGTTTGGAAAATTAAGTGATGCGAATGTATTGAAAGATCTAAACCTTCCTCTTTAGAGCGGAACAAACATGGCCAAAACATATAAAGATCGGCATAGTCGTTCATAGGGACATATCTATCCAGATAGAGGATAGTCCCTCCCTAATTTCCCCTCTAACTCCTTACTTTTAGTCTTACTTGAGTGGTATTTTGTAGGGGAGTCTCACTCCCATTTTGCTTATTCTTTATAGATGTATAAGTTTACCTGGTTAGCACTTGTCTAACAGAAAAATTAAAAAAAATTGGGTTTAGCATTAAAATATACATTAAGGTTTGAAAATTACCAGTTGTAGTAAAGAAGAAAAAGTCATCACAACAATAATCTCTCTTTGTTTATAAAAGAAAGTGGCTTCATCACTACTCCTGGTTGCATCATGTACCTCTGGTTGCGTACCCTAGTCAATGCCTAGACAAACCCGTATTTATTCAAAGAGCAATGCTAACATCAGTTCCTACCGTACACAAGCGTGGGTGATTGTGGATCATTGGTACGTAATCAGTCATCACGTGAATGTCCACTCCACTTATGCTAGCATAACTCAGTCCTAATTTTGTGTAGGCATGCATTGTCATAGTCTTTTTTATTAATTGATGTGATATTGTTATCTGCAGGTCGATTGAGATTCCCACTAGAATTCAGTAAGTTGTAAATTGGCCTCTCCAAACATACAAGAACATCAAGAACTTTGGTATTATTATCTGGTCATGCCATCAAGAACATGGCTGAATGATCTTCTAAACAATAGACAATTCAAATCTGAACCTTCAAATCATCACATGAATTGGGAATACAAAAAATTTAGGAAGACTTGAATCTAGTCTAGGCGGCGAAGGAGGTACTCGACTTGAACAAGCTTGGTGAGGGGCATTATCCATTCTCCATAGAGCCGAGAAACCACAGACGGATCAACCTTGCATTTCCCATTTCCATTATCAACCAGGCACACGTCCTGTCCGAAAACCGCTGCCTTCTTCTCAACTCTCTTCTTCACCATTTCTTCTACAGCCTCAAAGGTCAACAATTTCATAAGACCCTCTCTGTCCTGAAAAGATCAACAACCCAGTACAGTACTGCTGCGTCAGCCTAATTACATTTAACTTTCTGTTCAAACAAACTCCATTCTAATGGAATTACAAACTTGGGAAAATGATATTGTATAAAAAGATGATCAATACCCTACTTGTTAAACTATAATCAACAAACCAACTAACCCCTTTTACTGTAAGGTTTAATTACTCTATGATGCAAATACCTGAGCGCGAATCGCAGGCTCGTAGTCTTGAGGAGCATCCTTGAATTTAACCTCAGCTACATAGTATCCATAATGAATCCTTCTAGAGATGGCCTGCATGTGGAAGACAATCAGTGTGCAGACAAGTATGATTATTATTAGTTTAGGCCATTGTTCATGGCATCACTTGATCTTTATCTGAATTGAAAATTTCAAACACTTATTGGTACTTCCACCTCCTAGATGCATTCCTAAACAAACCTTAATAGAATTAAAATATATGATTAACTTATGAACATCACTTTACAAATTAAATATTAATAGCATAAACTATCTACCTACTACCCCCCACTAACATTATAGTCTTACACAAAAAAAATGATTAAGGTTAATAACCTTTACCTGTAAACAGTCAAGATCACTAGAGGCAGTTGATGCATAGTTTCCATCATCACCAGGGACAGCAAAAAGTGGAAGCAATCGGTTGAAATAAAAATCCCATATCTTCTCGTTTATGTTAATGGAAGCTGCAGCAGGATGCAAAACCTATAAGGAAAAAAATTAAAGTTTCAATTTTCCAGTAAAATATCTAAAAGGAAAAACTTAAACTTTTCTGGGTATATAGAATTAATTACTGGTGGATTGGCCTGAGGCGGCACCAATGAAGGTGGTAGGTTTTCTGGGGAAAAGGGTTGTTCTTCAGGGTTTTCATACCTACCAACCTGCAAGTGCAACATATAAAACAGGTAGATTAAGAGACATTGTTAATCACAAAGACAATCCATCCCATCTTGGATTTTCCAAATGACAAAACAGGAAACAGACAAACATTCCACGTGAAAATGAAGAAACCAAGGGAGAGAGGAGAGAGAGATGATTGATTGTCCATTTGTAATGAAACAGTAATTGACCTTGGATTGAAGGGCTTCTGTTTCCTTAACCACGAATTGGAGCAGAGAACCAGAAAAAGATGCAAACTTTTCATCGTAGGTGGGAGAATTGACGGGGAAGTTGGCTCTCTGTATCAGCCTGAAAATGATGGTGTCTTCTTGTCTGATCAATGCCTCTCTCACTTTGTCAAGCGTCAAATTATCACTGTTGGAGTTTGCTGCAGCTGCCATTTTAATGAATTGAAAGAATTGTCCAGTAAAAGCAAAGCAACTTGGGATTGGGATTGGGATGTGATGTATAAAGTTGTACCCTTCTGTATTTTCTCAGGGATTTTCTCGTCAACAAACAGAAAGTCAGAAATACCAGAAAGAAAGCGAAAAAAATGAACCTTCAGAAATTGGAAACTTTGCTTACTGCTTGCTTGGTGAGAGGGAGCTGATTGTGGTGGGCTTTTTAACGGCCAGAAAAACAGAACAAAACGAGGGAGGGTGGGCCCGTTCGGTGCTCACACGGTAACGTGGGTCTACTGCTTCTTTCCGTAAGCTCAGCGTGAGAATCTAGTATAACGTGTCGTGATGTGATTGTATGGCGGCTTTCCGCAGCAGACGGTAAACGGGACCCACACTCAGATCACGCGGTTCACCTAATTTTAACCGTCGGATATGTCATAGACCGTTAGACATGGTCCACGGGCTTGAATTACTAATGAGGACTTCGTTGCAAAAGTAGTGTCGACGAAAAGTCTTGAGGTAAAAATGAAGAGGAGAACCTTCTAGAGGAAAATCCACCGTTATTGTTCCTCCATAAATAAACAAAATATTACAGAGACCCGAAGAAAAATCTCATTTTTATTTTATTCTGGTGGAGCAAAATCTCAAGCATTTTTAAATGTCAAATGGTACAAATGGGGTGTAATAAACATGTTTGTTTGTTTATGCTAAGTCTCATTTTATATCCATTTACTTCCAGCACCTAAGATTCTGCAATGTGAAACTAGGATCTGTGATGTGAATCAAAGAACATGTCGCATTGTATATGGCATCAATTGGTGTCTAGTTTTTTTTTTTTAAATATTTACAAAAGAAAACGTTTGGTGTCTCTACTATTGTGAGGGTGTGCCTAAAAATGAAAACCACGAAGAAATGGGAGGAACCTTTCATACTCCCGTTTCCATCTAGTTCTGTATCTCTCTTCATGTCACTTAGAGCATCCACAATGACGCTCTCTATTTCTAAGCTAAAATTTGGCTAAGAATATAAGAAAGTTATTTTAGGAGCTCTCTAAAAAATTTCAACTCCAACCATACTCCCTAATTTGGAGAGTCATAAATGCTATAACTCTTTTTTGATTGGTCCATCTCTATTAAAAAATAAAATAAAAAATGGTTAGCATTAAATAAAGGTTTGAAATACTCATTAAATAAAGCAGCATTAAATTATAGGGAACCACTATGAGTCATTTCTCTCTCCTCAGATTTAGGAACTCCTAGAAGACTCCCTATTTTAGGAGGTGGATAGGGAGCGTGATTGGAGTTGCATTTTTATCATTCCTCCTTAAAATTTGTCTAAGGAGGTGGTTTAGAAGTCCCTTGTAGATGCTCTTATAAAAGAGGAGAAAGAAAGAATGGAGTAATGTAACGGGAAAGTATATTTAGCTCGCCTCTCAATACAAAATTAGCACGCATGCCCACCGAAGTCCCAGATTCCCACTGCCACTATCATCAACCCCAAAACCCAAAAAAAAAAAAAAAAATCAGTTAGTTATAAATAAACAAACAGAACATTAGGCATACTCTAATTGTGTCAAAAGCCCAACATCATGCGGGCTCATGATGTCCATCGACTTCCAATTACATGACTTGCAGGCTGCAGCTACTGCTAAAATGGAGGGCAGATGTTACTAAGGTAGAGCAAGTAGAGAGGAGGCATGAACCCGAATGTCCTTGAGAGCACAAATCTGGTCTTCTCCCATGGATGCCATAACTGTCACAACGAGGTCCTTACCCTCTGCAAACCCATCTTTAAGCCGGATACACAAGAAGCACAAAACCATATGTGTTAAAAACTGGTTTAACAATCAAAGATGGATTGCGTTCGAAGAAAATGTATCGGCGAAAAACGCAATTTTCAGGGCAAGTGAACACTTCAGACATTATCAGAACAGTATCTTTTGGCCTCACCTGGCTGAGCAAGTTTCTAGAACCCAGGAGATATATATATATATTTAAAATAACAATAAATCAAATTCCAAAACTAAACAACAATTAAAGAAAATTTAGTTAAATAGAAGGAATAAGTGGTGGGTTAGAGAGAGGATTAGGACCTTGCATGGACGGCCCTTGATGACAATTCTTGCGAATGGTACCAGCTTGCTGGGGGGTACGTCTCGGAGGCTCCAGCATCCGCCTGGGATTCCAAGTGGTTTTAACTTTCTTGGCTTTTCTTCTGCAACCATCTATCCTAATTACGGTTTTATTTTGCGCCAACAAAATCATTAATAATTGCTTCTATATCCGACTGGATTCAACCACACCCCTTGGATGCTGATGTTCGACATCATATCCACTTTTGACGGTCCTGATATCCTCACACCTTGTGGCTTGCTGTTTGTTTTTATCTTATTAAGGTTTGCTTTCTTTTGCAACCCAAGTTCGCGTATACATAAGTTACATTTATGCAGCCCAACTCCAGTTAGGCCCATCAGTCCCTTCTTATTATCACCATTTCATGGCGCGCAGTTGCCCAAAGTTGGGCTTTGTGCAACTGATCAAATCTAAGCCCTTAATCAGTCTTCTAATTAGAGGATTTGGATGGCTGAAGAGAACAATCACACCGGTTTCTATCATTTTTTTAAATTTATAATGACAGAATTATGATAATGCATTCTCAATCTGAATCAAAACAGAAAGTTCAATCATAAAAAATAAACAAAAAGATTAGGAATCATACACTTCACCAAAATTGAAAGACTAGGATAGTTACAACTCTCAAAAGAAACAAAAAAGCAAGGTTGCTTTTGGCGGTCCAAATCAAACCCATAATCATATGCTTGCTTTAATCCAACAATATTTTTTATCTACACAACCTGCAAATCATCCATACGAGAATAAAGATGCACACAACATGTATATAACACTTAACAATACAAGAAAATCATTGGTAGTTTTGTATAGCCTATAATACAAGCATGCATATTGAGTGGTAACTTGGAGAAATCATCACTCTCAAAACTCAAAAGCCACTGTACAGTTTGGTGCTCACCTAAACGAGTGGAAAGTACTTTCGGGATCGTGCTGGGAAGCAATCGACGCTGAAGGGTCTGGAACATGGTGTGATACAAGTGCTGCAGTTGCAGTTTCTTTCCACCATGAAACCTCTATTTCTTTCTCGTGAAGCTTGCGCTTCGTGTACTCTAAAGCAACTTCAAGTTCTTTTATCCGTTCTTCCTGTCTCGCTTCCAACACTTGATGCAACCTCCTCTCAAGTTCAGGTGCCGGAACTCCATAGTCACAGGGCATTTCAGCATAATCCGGCGGTTCTGCTTCATCACAGTCAATTACAAGAGCAGAGTCTCTAGAAGCCTGCCATTTTTAACATTCAAACATTAATCTCAGAAGATTAATTAATCAAAACAATTAGTATAATTAAACTAAATCAGTCTGAAAACTAATAGTGTTTACCTTTAGCCTCTGCTGAGGGTATTCAAAATTGGATGAATCATTTTCCGAATCCAATTGGAGCTGCAACCGTTCTAACTCGGCTTCAAGCTCCGCCTCAAGTTGATCCATTCCTGCCACGCATTCATCTCTCTCTCCTTCTCCTTCTTCATTTCTAATATATTCCGAGCACACATCACGGACAACACCAGATTGAAGCGAAAACTGGCTACCGGAGCTCGAGCTCGAAGCTTGATGGAAATCAGTGGTGGAAGAAGCAATATTCATCTCATTCAACTCCAACGGTTTGGCGTCAAAAGGCGCGTTCTTTCTTTGCAATCCCTCTTTTGCGTTTTGAAGAAGCAGCTCCATCTGTGTCCGCAGCTCCACCATCTTTGTAAGCTCATTTTTACTGGCGACAATCAGATATATCAAACCGCACGCAACGCCCAAATTGAATGAGCATTTATCTTTTACAAACTGTCCTGGATTCATCAGAAGGAGAGGATCAACTTAGTAATTAATATAAACCAAAACGTAAAAATAAATTAATAACAATAATTTAGAGAATTTCAATTTTGTTTTAACCTGACTGCTTCAATCCATGCGTCGAACAGGCGGTGTGCGTTGACTCGTCACCGGTTTCCCTTTTCGCGACCTCTTTGAATATCTTCTGGCTCCGTACGACGTCGGTTCGCCTTCTGTTGGATCGTCTCAGAGACGACAGCCATCGGGAAATAATACGGCGCGGGGTGGAACACTGTAAAGCCATCAATCTGTCGTCCGTCGGGAGGTCTCCGATGCCATCCATATTGCAGTCTCCGACGCTATCGTAGCCGTCGGTTTCGGATCCCTCTTCTTCATCAACGAGAATATCGGCGATGCGGATGTGGCGGGTCTTGGTGTAACGGAAAGGGGAGAGAATGAGGGTTTTAAAGAAGCGATCGTCTTTCTTCTCCATCAGAGCTTCATAGGAATTAAATGCGATGAGCCAGTGACAGAGTATAAGAGAGAGACTCAGATTTAAATTGTGGATAAAAATGGAGGGAAGATCATCAATGGCGCCTGGTGGGTGGCGGCAGGAGGAGGCTGCACGTATCCATAGGGTTTATAAAATTTCAATCTCGCTCCTTGACACTTGCTGGTTCCAAAATTTTGTAATTTGGAATTTATGATTCCCGCACACATTTCATAAGATGAAAGATGAATTTTCTCTTTTTGAAAAAAAAAACAAATTTTGAATTTTGAATTACGATTAAACAAAGGAAGCCACCAAGCCAACTACGGCAGAAATTAATTTGGACTTATCAACATTATCAACCCTAGAACGGAAAAAATAAAATTAGAGGAAACTTATGAAATGATTCTTCCTTTATTTGACAACAATTCCGAAAGTACAAAATTCACATCATGGAATATGAAACTTTGCTAAATATGCCGATCTACCGTTACGCTACATCAACTAAAATCTAAATCAATAAAATAAAATCTTCAATTTGACTATTAATATATGCCACGAAACATGCTAAACTTTTTTTCTTTTTTCTTTTTTAATGTTATTGCTTCAACTTGAAAATGAAATTTATAAGTCGAGTGATTAAGAACATTTATTTTTAGACCTGAGGTGTTGTGCTTAAATATTTAAATGGAATAATGTGAAAATCTATAACATTAGAAGACTACTAAGGTCGTGGTGACCACGCCGACACACAACGCAAACAATAATAAAAAAAATAATAAGTAGTGCTGTGGTGCTGTGGTCCATCAATTATTTGATTTCTGGTATTCTGTATCAATTATTTGATTAGGTGGCTTAATTTAATTTGTGTATTGTATTTCTATCAGTAAGGACAAGGAGAGGAAGGACAATATTTAAATTCCTAACTGGTCGGGTACGGGTATTGTGGACTATAAATTATTTATATAAAAACTCAGTTGGAAAAAGGTCATTTTACACATAACTGGTGCAAACGAGAAAGATGCAGAGAACCTACCTACATCGGCAAAAAAACATAAGAACCAAAACAGAGAAAAATAAACTACCGTCAATTCCAAAGCCTAGTACAATATTTTTCTCTCATCACAGGACCTACAAATCAAGGTGGACTTGGAAGACCATCCGAGACCAAAACACGAACGAAGGACGGAGCAGAGAGGAGATTAATAAGTTCACTTACATGTCTAGGCACAATATGAGGCTTTGTTCATATCTATCTTTAAAGCCACTTCAAACTTCTTCCCCTCTTTCTTAAGCTTCAAGTAGTGATAAACCTCGTGGGCTATGATGATGTTATCTTGAATTTGCATTCTAGTGATAAACGCATTTTGTTGCTCAGAGATGATGTAGGGAAGAATTTGCCAATATTTTTTTTTTAATATCTTGTGCGAGTTGTAGCATAGGCTAATCGGTCTAAATTGCCCCGTGCACTCCGATGACTGCACATTGGGAATAAAAGCAATGTGGGTACGGTTGATCTCCCTCATATGATCATAACCTTCATAAAACTCAGCAACAGCCCCCTCAAACGATTTCTTTTAAAGTTGACCAGAATTTATGATAGAAGATACTTGGAAATCCATCTTGCCCAGAAGCCTTAAAGGAACCTAATTGGGTAGAGGTATCATGGATTTCCTCCTCAGAAAAAGGGGAACACAGCATCCAATTCATATCATCATTCAATACTGGGTGGATACAATTCATAACACGCCAGCAAAATAAATTTTAAACTCATTTTGAATCATACCTTTCGAGGTTAACCAGGTCTCTTGAGGGTTTTTAATGCGCAGGAAATGGTTCATCTGTCTTCTTTAGATAGTATCAAGTGGAAAAAACAGGTATTGAGGGTTTATAACCAAGTCTCATTATAAGAGATTCTGTTTATAGTTCTCAAGATCAGAAGATCAGGAATTAATCCATCTACCATCCTGACAGACCTCCCAACTAGTATTGATAATTTCTTTGCATTCCTCGGATTAGCCCAACTAACTTCGAATTTGAAAACCTTTTTTTTTTTTTTTTTTTTTTTCCCCTTTTTTAAAAAGGGGGGGCACCTCCGACAACATATCAC